AATTTATTGCTAATGCACATTGACTTCTGAGGAAATTTTAGATGGCACTCATCAGAAAGGCTGCTGGCCCCTGGTCTAACAGATCTTCAGGATGAACATGGATCTGGTCAAGCATTCAAAGATTTCCTCTCACCTTTATCCATATTTATGAGAGAAAAAGAAAAAGAAAAGTCAGGGCGTGCTCTCCTGAACTACCTCTCCAATCGTTTGCACCAGCAGAAATGGCAGCTGATGGAGCTGTAATGTTGTGTAACTCTGGGCATGTGCAGTAGAGGTTCAACCTACAGGAAAAACAGCGCTTTGGACACACCAAATTGTTGGATGTGGAGGTTTTACACCCACCAAGCACCAACATGAAGGTTTTGCCTCTTTCTCCAGACGTTAAGGTCAGAGCTCGAGGAGGAGCTACGACCTGCCTGTCACTGTGAGTGGAGACTGTATCACAGCTGTGCCTCCTGCTGGCTCTCTATGGAGTACAACTGTAGTTTACTCTACCTCTGTATGGCTCTGATTGGTTCTTTGACTAGCCTGAAGACACACCCCTTTATTGCAGGATTCTAGCCTAGAACCAATCAGAATGCAGATAATATTCTCATTCACCTGCCTCCTCTTGGTTTTATCCTTCTGTAATTTTTCTGCGTTTTAGAAACTCAACAGTTTTGCATGTTACCAGTCCTTGCTGCTTCAGCGCTGATTCCAGATCTGAAACTCTGCTCTGGTATCGACTGATCTCACTCAGCAGCTGCTCTCTGGTCTGAAACACAAAGAATACAACCGTCAACCTGTTAGTGCCTTGCTTCATTGCAGCTAATGCAGCCCTCTGTGCCCCCACCGGGGTCACCTTGATCTCCTTCTCTGCATCGTAGTTTCCGCCACTCGTCTCCGCTAACAGAGCATACGCTCGCTGCAGCGCTTGGTACTCCTGAGTCAGCTGACGGTAACGAAGCTCCGCCTCCTCATGCACGCATAACTAAAACACACAAAACCCCAACTTCAGACCAGCGAGTCAGAGCAGTAACTGAAACAGTCTCAAGCTCTCATTGTTGCTGTCATCATGAAACGTAATACAGATAGCACAACCAATCATGCACAACTACACACATATCAGCCAATCAGACACTTGCAAGTCGCTGCTGGACGTATAAAAAACATGGCTAATATCGTGCCACTTCCGATTTAAAAGCTATTTCAGAAATAAACTCAGCTCTGTTTTTAATTTAATGACTCTATTAGGACTGATGCAGTTAACTGTTTATAGATCAGGGGTGTCCAACTCCAGTCCTCGAGAGTTTTTAGACGCATCCTTGGTCCGACACACCTGAATCAAATTTATGGCTTGTTCCTAGGCCTTTGCAAAACTTGATGGGATGCTGAAGAGGTAATCCAACCATCTGATTCAGCTGTGTTGGAGTAGGGATGCATCTAAAAGCTGCAGAACTGTAGCTCTCGAGGATTGGAGTTGGACACCCCTGTTATAGACACTGGCAGCTTAAGCAGGTTACAACTTAAGTACCTGAAGGATGTTTTGTTGTTACTATATGAATTATTATTTAAAATCTAGCAAAGGTGGATCTTTGAAGGTTTTGTCTTTCTGTCGGCTCTCCATCAAAGGCTGAGCGCTGTCTGTTCCAAGAGTCAGAAACTACCAGCTGTTTCCTTTTACATCCCACTGGACTTAAGAACACGTTTGGATGTCCTCACCTTTGGAAACAGTGGGTGTGTGTACATGTGTGTGCGTACCTCGTCTGGTTCAGTATCTGGAGTTCTGTCAGTGTGAAAGGACAAAGACGAGCCATCAGAATCCACAGACGCCTCTTCATCATAGCCATAAAACGTCTCAATGACCTGCAGGCAACACACAGAGACACAACGTAGTTCTGAAAACCCACCACAAAGTGCCATAACACCATCAACACATCCTCCATTTTTCTACATCACGCCCAGTTCAGGATGCTTTACAGATCATCAGAGATCTGATTTCTGGTCCAGAAGAGCTGACCAGAGTTGGTCCAACCAGCTCTCAGTATGTTTACATGAAATCATCGAAATCTGATGATTGGGCTGTAACCTGATTGGTCAAAGCTAATTACTGATGGAGCTGTGACAGGAGAAGACTCGGAATTAGTAAACGACGTTTAGTTTGTGACCTTTTAATATTTCAATCATTATTCAGAAAACACTGAATGTCTGTCACCATGGTGACTTAATTTAAGGAGCTTGTAAAAACACAAGCGACTGGACTCGTTTAAGTTTCTTGAAGATGTTTCAAGTTTCATCCAAGACGCTTCTTCAGCTGCAAAACCAAATAGTGGCGTGCCCCTTATTTGATCATTACCCTCATCACAGGAGCCAAAGTGTGAAAAAAGGTGTAGATGCTATTAGCAGAGGTTTAGCTGAACCATCGTGAGTCATGTGACCTACTGAGATCAACTCACCCATGTGAGTGGGCGTTAGGGTCTCTGTGAAGGATCTCAGAACTGGATTATAGATGGCAGACAGTTGGTGTGGTAAGCCCCGCCCTCTGTTCAAAGATAGCCGTTCACAGTGGACACAGATGCTTCTTTTACTCCTCTTTCAAACCTGTCCTCTCTGTCCAACATGTGAACATTTGCATCCTTAAAGCAGTGACCTTTGTCCTTTAGTACAGCCGAGCCTTGTCCCGTGGAGGTGGCTCTTCTATGTTGTGCGTTTATAAAGTGGCTGTTTGGTGTCTCCAGTGTAGAGGTCTGAGCACTCCTCCCTACACTGTACAGCTACGCTACATTGTTGAGGTTGTGTGTGGGATGAACCAGTTTGTGTCTGAGTGTGTGGCTGGGTACACTGGGATGCCGTGCTTGGAGAAGACTCTCCTGAGTTTCTCTGATAAACCTGCCACATGAGGGATGACAGTTGTTCTGTTTGTCCTTCTGATCCTCTCTAGTTGGTGTCTGACCGTCTTTCCTGTGCATCTTAGTTGATTTGATGAAAGCCCAGCTGGGGTAACCACATGTTTATGAGCTTTCTTTACATGTGTGTTCCTTTGTTTCCCCTTCTGGCTTAGAGGGGATGTTTTTCCAGGGTTGCAGGATCCCGATTTCCCCAAGTTTGTGTTCCAGAGGGTGGTGGAAGTCAAGTGGGGAGTAGGTACTGGTCTGTGTTTGTGGGTTTCCAGCAAATGTAAACGTTGAGGTTTCCATCCTCCTCAATGTGCCATAAATAGCCCCTACACGTCGTTTCTACTGACGACAACATTAAGCAGACATTTAAAAAGAAGTTGTCACCTGGTGCTACAGTGGACCCTCTCAGTGGACCAAAACTGGAGGTCCAAAAATGACTTATAAAAGACGTCGCTCCAACTTCACTTTACGTAATGGGATGCACATTCAGTCTGAGCTGCTGGAGCTTTGCAGCAGGGCGTCATTTGCTGCTTTCAGGAACAAGCTGCACACAAAACATCTATCACACTGAAAGCGTTCTGCACATGAAAGAAATGCTGAGGGTCACCTGCTTCTGACCAGGTAAGCTGGTCAGCCTCGGTTTTCATGGAGATTCAATAGGTAAACAACTCGCTAAAGAATAAACCTGGCTTCGTCACACACAAACAAAGAAATATCGGGGTACAGGCCTGGCCTCACCCTGCAGGCTCTGAAGGTCCGTTTCCTCCTCCCCGATTCCTGACGCCGGTACCTCAGTAACATGTCTCTCTCCTACAGACAGACAGCAGCATGTTTCACTATTAACAGAAAGATCTTACTCTCAGGGTTATCACTGATTCTATGCATGTTCGATACAAAGCTCACAACCCATCACACAGGACACACCAACAACTGTATTACGATTCAATACTTACAATCACATTCTTCACATAACCAGCTGTCTCCAGAGCCTGTAAACACAAACTAAGTCTTATTACAGTGAAATACTGAACTGCAGTACAAGTATAAATGTGTGAGTGTGTGTAGTACTAGTAGGAGCAGTAACAGTATTACTTGTCGTCTGTATGGACACAGTTGCTCACTTAATGGGTTTTTTCACATTGTGGTTTCTCACTGAAGGCATCAAAACTATGAATGAACACATATGGGCTTATGTGTGTCCATCCATCCATCCATCCATCCATCCCCCTCTTCCACTTATTCAATTCAGGGTCGTGAGGGGGAGGGGGGGCTGGAGTCTATCACAGCTGTCTTAGGGCAGGAGACAGGGTAGACCCTGGATTGTTTAAAGATCAGGCTTCAAACTTTCCTTTTTGCTAAAGCATATAGTTAGGGCTGGACCAGGTGACCCTGAATCCTCCCTTAGGCTGCTGGGAGACTCCCATGATGCATTGAGTGTTTCTTCTTCACTCACTATGTTTTTATACAACTCTCTGCATTTAATTACTAGTTATTATTAATCTTTGGCTTCTTCCTGTTGACAGCAGATGGCCCCGCCCCTCCCCGAGCCTGGTTCTGCTGGAGGTTTCTTCCTGTTAAAAGGGAGTTTTTCCTTCCCAATGTCGCCAAAGTGCTGCTCACAGGCAGTCATATGATTGTTGAGATTTACTCTGGTTTATTTGTATTATTGTAGGGTATTTCTTTTACAACATAAAGCGCCTTGAGGCAACTCCTGATGTGATTTGGCGCTATACAAACTGAACTGAATCAGTGGTATGGGTACCTTGGACAGGTCATCAATGATGTGTTGCTGCTCCAGGACTTGTAACCGCAGAAACTCCATCTCTCTCTCGTCCTGACTGTAACCATGGTAACTGGTGGAGTGGCTGCGGTCCAGATCATTTAATGAACTTGGCCTCCTCTGTGGACCACAAAAGCATGGCTGTTACCATAGTAATGGTACGCTAAAGTATTTGATTGCTGTTTGATGGTTTTTCATGCTCACTGTCACCAAGTGCTCGGCCATGATGGGTTGTCTTTTCTTTCATATAGAAATATAACTAAAATGAATAGATGTGGAAGAAATGCTCAGCAGCTGATGCAGCACTGTTTCACTGTGTTTGAATAAAGTATACTATAACTAGGGCTGTTCGATGTAATGATATAAAAACGTCTATGGTTTCATATTACGCTACTGTTTGCTTTGTGGTAAAATAAACAGTTTACAGCAATATTTTTTCATGGTTTTGATGGTCACTGTAGAATTTCCCAAAGCTCTATTTTTCTCTTATATTTAATATAACCACACTACAGTGGACAAGTGACTGTTTTTATGCGTTGTCATCAGCAACAACGATGGTAAAACCATCATGTGGCTTGTTTATTTTCCACATAAACCTTTCACAATAAAGCTGAAGATCCTGTTGAGATTTTTCAAAATAAACTGCAAAGTATTTCGGACAAGAGTGTTTACGGACGAGAAGCTAAGAAAGAGCCCACAAAGAAAATTGCGGCCGTTTCAACTTATGTAACACTCGACTTTGACACAGATGATCATTTTGATATTTTCAGTGTGATACTGAGAGGATGATGGAGAGATAATAGACCTGATGGCAGCCACTTTATTTACAGAATAGTTCAAAAATTCATTACAATCAGATTTAGTATAGACTGGTACATGAGGGATATCAAACAACACTTTGGGATGGTTCTTTTTTGAAATTCAGTTCTAGCATTTTTTTATCATGTCATTAAGTGAGGAAATTGATTCCTTGAGATGTATCCCATGAACCTCGAGCTTGGAAGCCTTCCATAAACGTTCTAACTTGCGACAATATTTCCTAAAATTCAGAATATTTTCATTTATCCAGGGACAGAAATTTGAAGAATGGACGACACTTTGTTTCAGAGGCGTCCCTGTATATGAGATAGATTTACATTAATTGTTAAAACGTACGTATATCTCTGTGTATATGTTTGTGTATATAGGTAGGTATGTATGTGTGTATGCGTATGTACTCCTTTGTATGTATAACTTGTACATATCTTTTTTGTGTAAATGCCTGTGTTACTGTGTAGCCTGTGTTACGCTATTGTGTGTTACACACACTCCCTCAGTAGGTACCCTTAAACTTATGTCTGTCTTATCTTCCTCTCCTATCCAAAAACTGAATGTAAATCTACATCCTGCCAACGGAGAGATGCCAAACTGTGTTTCATTGTTCTTGTAACAGTGACAATACAGATCTATTCTATTCTACAAGACACCAAGAGTCCTGCCAGGGTCAAGCGTGGCCGAGAGCCTTCCAGCAGCGTCCTGGTTTATAATCGGGATCATTCAGTCTTTTGGATCATTGGTGTAAGAGGTGAAAGATGCAAATAAAATGACAAATTAAACTTCAGTCTTGTAATTGGGTTGTCAATGAAGTACCTAAACCCTGAAGTGTGAGTGAATCCTGACACCTGCTGGTAAAAAGCAGTAACTGCGTGTGGAAGCTGGACATCACATCAATTCCAACACCATCACCAGTTTGACTGATACAGAATAGGGCGTGTTAGAGTCAGAGGTTACCATAGTTACCATCTCCAGATTCTCCTGGGTGACGAAGCGAAGCTTGTTATCGAGTCGACGCAGCGCTAGAGCCAGCTCTTCGTTTTTGCGGCTCAGACGCTTGTTCTTGTCCAGAAGAGGAAGAAACTGACTCTCGGCCTCTCTCAGGCGCTTCAACTACAGAACACACGAAAAATAAAAGCATACAGGCAGGAAGAGGACAAGGATTTTATCAAGTAATTCATTAGCCCCAGGTAAGATAACATTAGGGTGACAGTGCCCTACAGTGTTTGTAGTTCTTATGATTGGAGTCCATTAAGCTTACTGTCTCATTTCAAGCTCCATATTTTGTTTCCTGGGCTGGAGAGGCACTGCATGAGTTGCGGTTCATTAGCTGCATAAGGTGGAATGTAACAATTAATTTACTCAACATTACCCTCTACAGGTGTAGCTGCCTTATTAGTTAGGATCAGCCTGGGTTAGAGTTAGGACAATAAAGGGAAGGAGGAGCTAACACGAGACCCGGCGTGCTACTGATTGAGAACATTTCAGTCACTAGCTTTCTCTGCCAACTTACTCCTATACAGCTTGAAAACTGTGTTTCAACCAACTTAAGCACTCTGGAGGACCACAAAGAAGACCGGGACAGTAGAAGCAGTATACCTGCAAGTGTTTCAGGTCCATTGTTATGGGGAAACAAGGCACTGACTACATCCAGCAGCAAAGGAAACATGTTTGGAACGGGCTTCTCCTCAGACTAGCAACATGATGGAGATTTTGGTGTCCATAGATAAAAAAAACCATCGAGCTTTGACATATACCTGCCCCCACTGGAAATCTTGCATAAAGACTTTCAGGTGCTGCGTAAGTCCGTGGAGTTCAGCCAGCCGCAGGTGAACACACTCACTGCTGTGGCCGGGGAGAGTCGGGGTAATCCCTCAGCGACGGTATGACCCAGATCTCAGACGAAAATTTAAAAAATCAAGGAAACTGTCGCCGAGCTCCAGGCCTGCAGCATGCTAGGCCTGGAGGCATCCTAGAGAAGGCAGCAAAGGACCTGCAAACTACAGTGAGACATTACATCTAGATCCACCTCAAACTCCACATGGTAAAACATCAGCTTCCATTATGTCCATCATCTGGGACGTAAGCAAGCTGATGGACGCAGACCCAGACCAACTGTGCCCAAATTGGAAAACTTTAAACAGAAAGAGCTGGTGTAGAGCCATGGCTGGGAGCTGACAGCAACAAACTTCGGTTTCTCAAAGAGATCCTGGAGCAATGCAAAGTCCTGTTCCTGATCTGAAAGAGATTCATCCACGGAGGCTCCCGAGCTGTCACCGTGGTCTATAAACTGTGCATCAGTGGCAGCTTTATCGTGACTAGACCATCTGTAGCTATACTAATGCCTCCTTCTCATTCTTTTCCATATCCTTTTCCCTGTTTAATAGACATGTCTACACAGAACAATTCATGCTGGTTTAATGACCACAGCCTGTTTTCTCGTGTTGTTTTTTCTTAAATTCCCCGCTATTTGTTTGTTGTTGTTGATATAACGTCACTTGCGAATGGTTCATTGGTGGCTGCACATCTCAGTTTTCACACCATTTCTCTCTGCACTCATTGTATTTGCGCTGCCTCCAATGCTGTGATTTACTTCACAATCACACAGCACAGGTACATACACAAGCAGACAGACACACACAGCGATTTAGCGAACATTCAACACCCCACCAGTTACTTTAAACATGAACGCTCTGAGGTTTGTCACATAGAATGTTAATTAGTTTGCTTCATGCATGGAGTCGTAGATCAAAAGAGACGGAGATTTGTGGAAAAAGCCACCCGGTCTCTTGCATAAACTCAAGCACTCGCTCATCTTCTCCTCGTCCATCCAGCCCTTTGAGTTAGCCTTACGATGACGCCGCCGGAAACTTTTCTTTTGGCAAAGTCTTCCTCTTGAAAATGACCATGGGTGGTAGTTTCTGGCCATTAGCTTGGCAGCCCAGAACTACAGTGGAGGATGACTTCTCGTTCCCTGTGGTGCGTATAGATACTGTACTGGTGCCTGTTTTCTTGACAGTACAGTTCACGGGGATGTCAAAGGTGAGGAGGACCTCGTCCATGCTATTGATGTGTTCTGGCCGGATCTTCTTTTCAGTGATCTCATTCTGGCAGTAGGTGCTGAAAATGGCCAACTTTTCTTTGTAATCGTTTGGCAGTTGCTGTGAGACAGTAGTTCTTGTGCGGATTGAGAGATTATGCCTTTTCATCAAACGGAAGCACCAAGAAGGTCCCCCTCGAAAGTCGTTGATCTGCATGTCACGTGCCGCTGTTGCCTTGAGTCGAATAGAGACTGTAGAGACACTTCTACCTGCTGTTCTCTGTTCAATAACCCACTGTTCAATTTTGTCCTCTAACTGCGGCCATCGCGCCTTGTTCCCTCGGAAACTCCTTTTGGTCTTCTTTACTTGTTTTAGGTCATCTTTTTGCTTCCTCCACTTGCGCACCATGGACTCATTAATGCCGAATTGTCTGGCAGCTGCTCTATTTCCATTCTCTTCTGCATAACTAATTGCTCGAAGTTTAAAATCAGCTTCGTAAGCGTGTCTCTTCGCGGGTGCCATTTTGGAGTCGTTATACACACACAACACGGTAATGTTGTGTTGAAGCACAGTACGTATTACTCCGCGAGGCTCCTGGCAACGGTAACCGTAATGCTCCAAAAAGTGGCACTAAAAATCTTTTTTTGACAGATTTTTGAGCATAGTGTGCCACATAAAACTGGTTCGAGGTCAGTAAGCACAAACCAAAATTCATACATAAGGCGCACTGTCGATTTTTGTGACGATTTAAGGATTTTACGTGCGCCTTATAGTGCGGTAAATACGGTAAAACAGAGACATGTAGCCATATTAATTAGCAGAAAAATAAACTTGACCATTAGCAACAGTATTACAGATCCAGAAGGTGGATTTATAATACTTAATTTATGTTTTCAAAATATGGATCACTAAATGTTGATAGGCCCTCCTTTTTATTACATCTTCACTTCACTTTCAGATCACTCTGACACCACTCCTATAATAGGAGGAGACGTCAACCTGGTATTTAATCCACAAATTGATATGCTCAGTACAGCTGTGAGTCAAAGGAACTGGGAGTCTACCGACATTCTCAAACAACACATGAGTGATTTTGGTCTTTGCGATGTTTGGTGTTCATACCTTGCTTGGCAGGTGGAGCACGTGGGGCTCTGAGGGGGAAGGAGATGCTCCGGGTAGCATTGAGGGAGGCGAGTAACTGAGTTTGTTTCTGACCTTAATTCCTTGTGTTCCAGAGAGTTCCAGGCTTCTTCTCTTTGTGTGCATGGTCCAGGGCCCTGGTGCTGGGGTTGCCCATTTTCTGGTTGGGACCGTGCTTGTGTGGGGGTGCACTGCATCCCCTTGGCTGCTTCACCTGGTGGGGTGGGTAGGCCCACACTGAGATGTCCGGTCTGTGCCTTGGGGGCTTTTGAGTACCTGCAGGCTTATATGCTGAGAACTACATGCTTTTTCCTTCCCCGCTTCTTCTGACAGCACAACACTAACACACGTAATATCACGAGGGGGAATATATGCCTCACAGGCCTCAATCGGTAGGACTTTGCTCACTGTGCTGCACAGCCATTAATTACACTGTAGTCATTACAGTTCAGGACACATCACCATACACATAGGACGTCTGGGGACATACGTGATACCCAGAGGTTGGTGGGTGGGCTGCTGAGGCGGCGATGAGCACTGCTGACCATCTGCTCATGTCTCCTCAAATCTAATAGCAGTCTAATTTCCACACTCACCCAACAGGCCACCACTGCACTGACATAAAAAGAAACAGACTGCTCATACAAACGCTCACAATACTGTGTCGCTGTGTAGTGCCGTGTTGAGTGATGTGTGCTCAATCTGATGTTGTCTGTGTGTGCGTGTGTGTGCGTGCGTGAGTGTGGTATGTGTGAGTGTGTGTGTGTGTGTGTGTGTGTGTGTGTGTGTGTATGTGTGTATGTGTGTGTGTATGTGTGTGTGTGTCTGTGTGTGTGTGTGTGTGTGTGCGTGTGTGTGTGTGCTTTACCAATTCGTTGCGTTCTTCTGACAGTAGAGCATTTCTATCCTCTAACTTC